GGGTTTAGGGTTATAACCCTAAACCCTATCAGGGTGTAGGACTATAACCCCAAACCCTAAACCCTATCAGGGTTTAGGAGTATAACCCCAAACCCTAAACCCTATCAGGGTTAAGGAGTATAACCCCAAACCCTAAACCCGATCAGGGTTTAGGATTATAACCCCAAACCCTAAACCCTATCAGGGTTTAGGATTATAACCCCAAACCCTAAACCCGATCAGGGTTAAGGATTATAACCCCAAACCCTAAACCCTATCAGGGTTTAGGATTATAACCCCAAACCCTAAACCCCAAACCCTACCCCATGCCTTGGCCACTTGCTGTTGCAGACTTTCGGCGGCCTCTTCCGTCCCACGCGATGGCTTGGAAATGGGTAACTTCGGACTCAAAGTTCGCTTGAGGGTGTAGACTGTAGGATGCTGTTGGACAGCATCATATTATGATTACGGTTTAGGGTTCAGGGTTTAGGGTTTACTGTAGGGTGCTGTTGGACAGCATCATATAATGATTCCAGTAAGAAATGCGGTTTTGTAAAGCAGTAGTTGGTTTGCAACCACTTTAGCTGATTACTAGAAGCTCTCTTGTAGGTTGGATTGGCGGGCCGGTGCTATGAAAAGCGTCATCACAGAAAGTCTGGAAGGGTTCATGTAAGAGTCTGCAGTGTCTGTGGGATTTACATTACTCTGACTGGTTTGTGCAGAAGGGCTATGCTGGTCCATGTGTGGTATGGTTATTGTTTCCAGCATGCGCATAAATACACCCAGTCAATACACTTACCAGTATTCCTCAGGATCCTTTTAACTTGTACACACTCACCATATCCCAAACTTGAGCTCGACTTTTAGGATGTAACCCCTAAGCCCCTTACAAGCCCTACCTCATGTAAGATCGCAAGTTTCCAGGAATGCAAGGTGTAAGGAGGCAGTAAGTTTAACACCAAGGGAATAGGATGGGTTTCGGGCTTGTTGAGGTGTGGTTCGTTTGAGGGCTACATTTATGGGCTTCTTCCGCGGCACTTTCAATCGTTCCTAAAGGAGTTCCATAATTAATAAACTCTAAACCCTAAATCCAGAACCCCAAACTCAAAACCCTTAAGTGAATCTTTTGAGTTTAGGGGCTTGCAGGGGTTAGGTCGGTTTATAGGCGTCGGGCTTATAAGGTCTCAGAAATCGCGGGTTGGTTGATGCTGAACCTTAAGAACCCAAAACCTACATTTTTTTGTAGGGTCCCTAAAAATCCCATATTAGGGTTTATTATAAGAACCTACAAAAAGTGGGTTTGGGGTTCTTAAGGAAGGCTTTGAAGCTTTAAGGCTTCCGGCTTTAGGCTTCAGGCTTGAAGCTTTGGGGTTTAGGGTTTAGGCCTACTTGGAGGTTCATGGGTACTTAAAAGTAGGGTTCTAAGTAGGGTAGCTGTAGTTATAATCTACATTAGGGGACTTATACCTCCATTTAGAACTACTTATGAGCCTCCAAGTATGACATGCTTGACGTTCAGGGCTTCGGTGCTAGGGCTTACGGGTTTGATACACTTATCCTGCGGCTTCTGTCTTATCGTGATTCATATCAGTAATCATGCGTTCGATTCAAAGATGTCGAAACCAAACTAGAGCTTATCAACGTGGTGGTACCGGATGTCATGACGGCTGTCATTATCTAAATTTCTTGGCACATGTGTCTAACCACTGGCACCGTGGAATCATCTCGGTAGCACCACTCCTACTCCGAAGAAGATGGCGATTCAGATTTGTGCGTAGCCCCACAGCTATTTTCTTCTAGAGCCGTGCCATATATTCGGGCTACTAATGAATATAGGGGCCTTAAGTATAAGAAAAGGACTTGAAGTATGTTATGCTATAACATTCTGACAAAGCAATCTAAAGGAATTGTGCGGTCACTTGTTTAGGCTGCTATATAATGAACCCCATACCTTAGATCCCTTCTCGAACCCGTTAGAGGAACCCTAAACCCTCAAACCCTAAACCCTAAACGGGAGCCTTTAAAGAATCCCGGAGAGCAAGGCTTCGGTACTTTGGATCATAGGGAGCTCCCACAACCCTACTGGAGCCACGGTTTAGGGTTTAGGGTCTAGGGCTAAACCCTACGCTCATAAAAACTCCAAAAAGAACCCTGTGTTGTAGACCTAAGCTCAAAACAAACGCTATATTATGGACCTTCAACTCCGAAACTCCAAAAAAGAACTCTGTGTTGTAGACCCTAAACTCAAAAACGAGCCCTTCGAGTAGCTTTCGGAGCCCTCCTCCTTTAGGAACAATAAAAAGCCCTAAACCCTAAACCCTAAGCCGCCCCAAGCAATTGCCTGTCGCATCGCAGGCCCTTGGGGACCAGAAGCGATGTTGGCCTTGCTCTCCAAAGGTCTTTGGAGCGTTAGACCACAGGTTTAGGGTTTAGGGGTTTAGGGTTTAAGGCTTAGGGGTTTAGGGTTTAGGGGCTTCGGGTTTAGGGGTTTCAGGGGTTTAGGGTTTAGGGCTTTAGGGTCTTAGGGTTTATAGAGTTTGGGAAAGCCGGCGCCCCAGAGCGCAGAAACTTTCTGTTCGGACTACTACTACTACTACTACTACTACTACTACTACTACTACTACTGCCACTACTACCCTAAACCCTAAACCC